GCGGTGGCCTTGAGGTCCGGCCGCGAGGCTCCGGCTGGGCCTGGGGTTGGAAGCCGCAATGCCACGGGTACGGGAGGGATTCCTAAAAACTTAGAGAAAAGTTTAGGCCCTGGCAAGTTGGTGGGGGTGGAAATGCCATCCCTTAGCCAGGAGGAGGGCGGGGCTGGAGCTTTGGTGAGTGGCTCGGTCTCCGCGCCGTCTTTCTTTTTGCCCCGGCTTAGTGGCAGTTAAAAGTAGTCACAGTGGTCTTCAGGTTTTGTTGGGCGGCCCAGGGTCAGGTCCTGTTGCTCAGGGCAGATCCCACCAGTCTCCCAGCCAAGAACTGGCCACCCGTCTGCCATGCCGAATGCAGTCTGAAGAGCCGCAGGCCCCACCACTCCTGTCACCTCAGGTCTAGCTTAATGTACGTGTTGGTGCTGTAACTTGGCTATTTTCCAGGTTCTAGAATATTCTTCCATCTCAGTATCATCAGACCTTCAAGATGAAGCCTATTGATCCCCCTTCGGTTTCCAGCAGAATCTGTAGCTCCCTTCTTGGCCTGCTAAGGGACTCCTGGCAGCTGCTGTGGGACTCTGCTGTTTGGGCGGGGCCCACGTGACCCTGGCCTTTGCGCCCTAGACTAGGCCACTCAGGATAGGGTTGTTGCAAAAGAACCATGAAATTATTGAATGGGTTTTGATCTAGGTTTAGGTGTAGGAAAGAGTTCCCAAATGTTTTGAACCTTGGGCAATGGAACATGTAATGGTGTTTTCTTAAGCTCTGTAATGGAATCCTTTTGTGTGTTTAATTGCTCTAAGTTATTTTGAGTGGAAATGTCAGGGTGCCACAGGAACTCAAACCATAGGTCTGAGCCCAACCAAGGAGACTAACCGCGAAGGCCCACGCTTGGTGCTTCTTCCTGTGTGAGCCGGTGTGGGGCTTCCTCCGTGTGGCGTGGAGCTGTGGGGCCTTGGCTGGGCTTGAGGTCTAGGAGGGGATCTCACTAGGAGGCAAAAAACAAAGTGTGTTTAGGACCTTGGAGAAGACTAAGAGCAAAGGAGTGGGGTCCTTTTTTTTTCCTTTTAAAAGTCTTAAGTCCAAAGCTTGTCCAAGGAAGGACTCCCAAAAACTCTTGCCTCCCCTGCAGATGATTTGCTGAATCCTCATTAAGGGGAAAACAAAGAGGTGGTTTTGCTTATTTATTTAAGAGGAAAAATAAATGAGCTGTGACAAAACAATTTGAAACCAGGCCCCTCTGAGACCTGGGCTTTCACTTCCTTGATGGGAAGTAAAACAGAGAATCGAATCCCCCTCCAAATAAAAGTGAAGTTAATAATCAGACAGCTCGAGCCCAGGCCACATCCTGTGTCAGCTCCCTCCCTCCCTTGGCTCACTGTTTATAGCTGCTGAGCCCAGAACCCACTTAACCCTCTCCTCCCTGTCCACAGAAGCCATTCCTGCTCTGAGGCTGGAGGCCAGCTCCTTACAAGCAGGAGTTGGCCTAGGAAGGGGTGGCTTGCCTGGGCCTGCCCACCTGTTCCCCATGGGCAGCCACTGGCTGATGTACTCAGTAAGAACAGCTGGATTGGAGGGATGTCTTCTGCTTATCCCACAAAAAACCCACTGTCTTCTCCACCCCTCCAGGGCAAAACCAGGTAAAGCAATTCCCATTCCAGACACAACCTCCATGGCCTGGTGGCCTCCAAGAATTACATTCTGATGGATACAGGCACAAATCTTTGGGATTCCAGGACTGTATTGAGATCAGCATTCTGTACATGTTTCTCTGGACTGCTTCCTGTGAAAACTTTCCATTTCCTTCAGCTGCTTTCCCATGTTGCAGCATGTTGACTTCTAGAACCCCATGGGGTTCGTTGTAGCACATCCTCATTGGGCTGAGGAGGAACTTTGGTTAAATTAAATTTATTGAGGGCTTTCTACTGTTCTAAGCAACTACTCTGCCCTGTAGGGCTATTGTCAGCCTCATATTACAGAGGAAGAAGCAGGGCTAAGTCACTGACCCAATATTACACTGCTACTAAATAGCAGAGATTTGAACCCAAGCATTCTGGCTGCAGAGCCTGGCTGTTAGTCCCTGCACTAAGGTCTCACAGTCAGAGGTGGCTTTCTGCTCTGGGGCCAGGAGCCTTTCCCAGCTTTCCAAAGCTTAGGATAATCTCACCAACACATTTCAAAGGTCCCAAAGCCCAAGGGCTTTTTTTTTTTTTTTTTTTTTTTTTTTTTTTTTTTCCTTTTTCTTCCAGGTGAGGTCAGGGCTATTACAGAAGTTTAACAAAAAGTTTAATATGAAAACATACATGACCCAATTTTTATGTCATAGTATAAAACAGGAGTGGGGACAGGGATGTCTGCTGAACTTGCATCATTAAAACTCATCCCAAGGCTTCTATCCTGATGATTATGGTTCCTTATGTTCCCACTCCAGTATTGTTCTTTGCCCACTAGATGCCATCTCTACCAATTCATCTGTCACAAGATTTCTAAAGGGTTCAAAGCTCAGCAATAGTCCTCAGACACACCTGCCACTAATTTCAGTGCCGCTGCCCTCCCTCCCCTACTAGGAACGAAACCCAGCGCCCTTACACTGAACAAAATCTCCAGCCCTTTTATATTTTACTTTTGAGACACAGTCTTGCTAAGTGGCTAAGTTGTCCAGGCTGGGCTTCAACCGGTGATCCTTCTGCCTCAGCCTCCCAGAGTGCTGAGATTACAGTCACTGTGCTTGACTTAGTGGTAACTCTTTTTCATAACTTTTCTGAGCTCGGGACAGTGAGCTTTGTTCATGGTGTCTCCTTGGTGGGCTCAGTGCTGCTTTCCTCAAGGACCTTTTGAGAACTTTCCAGCTTTGTCTTGGGCTCTCCTCCTTCTTTCCATTTCATCCTTGGGACAGAGGCACAGAGAGCAGGGGGCTGGTTGTTGCCCTTCAGCCCCTCCAGGATCCTGCAGAGTGGCACATCCCCCCGTGTCTGGCAGCAGGCCTCAGTGCAGGGACCCAAAGACAGCTTGGTTGCTACGTCAACAGTCTGGACAAACTGCTTGAGTTCCCTTGTCAACGGTGAGTTTTGTGGCTGAAACTTGTGTGGAAGGAAGCCACTTATCACCTTACCTGAGGCAACTGGCAGAGCAGGCCTCCCACCTCTCCTGGGATGCCCTCCCTGCTTGCTGTGGGAACCGACTGGAAGTGATGTTCTGCCCCCTGGTGTCTGGAGGCCATCACTGACTGCTGGCCTGTAACCTGCTCCTTTTGCAGAGCTGTTGCTAAATACAGGGCCAAGGGCTGGGATTTAGCTCTGGATCTGCTGCCTGCCTCACAAGTGCAAGATCCCGAGTTCGATCCCTGGTAAAAAAAAAAAAAAAAAAAAATACAATAAAGTAAATACAGGGCCAGCTGTTAGTGAACCCCAAACCCCACCTTTGGGAATGCGTTGATTTGCCACGGATCTGCTTTCTTGGGGGACAGGGGCACTCTGCCACTCAAAGCCATGGCTGGTATACGAGGTGCCCGACTCATCTCCGTCTCATTGGGCCCCAGAGAAGGCTGTGTATCCCACCCCAGGTGGCCTGTTCCTTCCAGAGCACTGGCTCCTCAGGGAAGATGATGGCCGCGGCTTCTCTGAATCTGGCAGGATTCTCAGCTCAGAAAGTTTTTGGAGTAGTGTGTTTTGATTTGTATTTAATTTGGATGTTTAAGAAGAACATCTGGCTGGGGATGGTGGAACACCCTGGGAAGCTGAGGCAGGAAGGTGCCAGCCTGGGCAACTTAGTGACCCCGCAAAACATGTCTTTTAAAGAGGGCTGAAGGTTTTGCTCTGTGTGAATGCCCTGCATTCAATCCCCAGTACTGCCAGAGAGGGAAGAAAGGAGAGGAGAAGGGAGAGGGAGAGAGAAAGGAAGAAAAGCACTTACAATTCAGAGTACACCATATGCGGTGCTCTGTACTGTGGTCCTCAGAGGCCAGGGCTGCAATCTACAGAAAGCCTCATCGGCCCCAGCAGGTAGCCACGCTTAGTAGGGGTAGGTGCTGGACACCTCCAAGTGGGGTAGAATGAGTCGCCCCTTTTCTCGTGGAACGGAGGAAGGTAAGGGAGGCCGAGGGTTCTCCTACTAGTACAGTGGCTATCTGCTGAGGGGAAGAAAGTTCATTGATTTAAAATGCTTTAAAACAAAATTTGAAATAATTTTCCCTGAGCTTTACAGCAGTGTAAACATGGACACCAGGCCCTGTCAAGATTTTTCCCAGCCCAGGAAGCCCCTCTTGTGGCTTTCACACAGATATGGAAAGGGGTTTAAGGTCCTCTGCTGGAGTGGATGGCTCATTCCTGTAATCCCAGCTCCTCAGAGGCAGGAGGGCTGCAAGCTCAAGGCCAGTCGGGGCAGTTTAGCAGACACTGTCTCAAGATAAAATTTTCACAGAAATAAAAGAAAAATGAAAGAAAGAAAGAAAGGGAGGGAAAGAAAAAGAGAAATGAAGGAAGGAAGGAAGGGAGGGAGGGGAAAGAAAAGAGCTCTTCTGACCCTAGCGAGGTCTGTCCTCTTTCCCTCCTAACAGAACTTTCTCTTTCCTCCAAAAGCATATCTTTAGGAAGTAGATACTGTGTTGCAAGAATAGGACGACCAGAATCATTCAGTCAAAAGTGTTTCAGTTTTTATGAACTAAAAACATTTTAATTACAATTTTAAACATGCAGGAGTCAGAGTAGGAAGATGAAGTCCTGGCCGCAGCCCCAGCAGCTCACTTCTTTGGGTTTACTCGCCGCTCCGAGCTGCCTCTGCTACAGGTTTGTTTGTTTGTCTGTTTTGCATTGTAGACAGGAGCTCTATGTTGAGCTACACCCGCAACCCCTCTCACGTACAGTTTCAAAGTAAACCCTATATGGCAGATCATTTCACTTTGCTATCTGTATTTCAGGATGTATCTAAAAACCAGGCGCGTTACATTTAGCCACATTATTTCACCTAAAAATCACTAATATCCCTTAAACATTACCAAGTTAGTGTTCAGATTTCCAGAACTGTTTCTGAACTCTGTTTTTCTGTTTGTTCAAAGGAAAAGAAAAAGCCTTAAAGTAAGAATTTCTCCGCATTTTAGTCATATTCTCACAGTGTGGCCCATTTCGGAAGGGGAGATTTCTGAGTCTGGGCAGCAAAGCCCCATGATCCGGTCTCTGAGAGCCGTGATCACTTCAGCAGCTCCCTCGGTCAGACTGGGCTGAGTTCCACGTGGGCAGGAACACAGGCCAGGGTAGGGTGCAGCCGCATCGAGCTAATGAGGGGAGACTGGAGCGAAGCCCCCTGTGTCCTCCCACCCACACAGACGCCTGGCTGCGAGGGGCTGTCCTTGGCTTCCCCGTCCAATGCTCTGCCCACCAGCTGCCTGGGACTCCTCTGGGATCCTCTTCTCTCTCTTGCTTGGGATACTTTCCTATGCTCCAGTGGCTCCGTGGAATCACTTTGTGGGGCCTCCAGCCTCCTTCCTGGTCCTGCCAATTGCTGCTTAACGTACAACAAAAGTTGACTGGGTTTCGGGGGCAGGGGGTGCACTGATCAGATGGCGTGCCAAGAGCTTCACTCATCTGTCCTCACAGCCATCCCGAGAGACCGTGGTTGCTGTCGTTCACGGAAAGGAGGGAGGGCAGGTAGGCTCCTCGCCTACCTTGGAGCTGGCAATGGCAAGATTTCAACGGCAGCCTGAACATGACTTGTTGCTTGTGACAGACTGATCCCCAAATGTTTAAGAACCCTGTTTAAGGAACTAGGAGGCAACTGGGTCTAGGACCAGTCCCTTTTCTTTTGAGGACAAATCATGACAAGTTGAGATCTGCAGTCACCGTGCATTTTTTCTGCTCTGTTTGCATCTTCCAGAACAGAGGAGACTTACACACACCCTTCTTAGGAGATTAGCTCAGTAGAATGGAATACATTTTAGGTCATTCAGCCTCTAATTTCCTGGATTGTCTTTTTTCATGGTTAACTAATACTTTGGGTCAAGGATTATAAGACTGACAGGTTTGAATGTTAGCAGGGATGGGAAGTGGGTTAAGCGTGTAAGGCTACAACCCAGACATTATCTCTTTGATACTTCTGGCCCCATCTCTTGGATTCTGGTAGAAAAGAAACATGACATGGAATGTACAGAATTGGGGAAAATTAAGAATTCTTGGAGGGAGGAGGGTTCGCGTGGACCGTGTTTTCTTCGTCTCTATTGATCAGAATCAGCCCGCGTGGCTTCACCTTGGCTGAACTGTGAGGGATCAGTGTTAAGTGGCTTCTTGAGCCACCTGTGAATTAGGCCTCACCCACTGAAGACGGCTTGGGCACGCCAAACCTGGCACCAAACCCTCATTTTTACCTCTTTTGCTTCTCTTCTTGATCACGTCTTGGTTTACTTCATCTTTTGCCCAGCTCCTGCTGCCCTAGGGAGGTGGAGGGATGAGCAGAGGTGGGTTTGCTAAGCACGGGAATTGGAAAAACCAAAGCAGACGTGGAAGCAAGGTTGTGACAGACCCACAGAAGGAAGAGAGGCCGCAGCATGGAGGGAGCCCAGCTCTGAGGGAACGGGCTAATCTTTGTAGGATCTGTGCCCGTGAAGCACTGAGGGTGAACTTCCGAAACCTTCCAACCACAGCAAGGGGAAAACGAGCTATCTTAGGTCCCCTTGGGAGTGCCTGGAAATTCATTTAAGGCCCCTAAGCTGTTTCCAGAAGTTGCATTGCCAGGAAGTCCCTGGCTTTGCCTAGAGGTGGCATGCCAATCCGTAAGGAGCCCTGCCTTCCCAGGTGTGGGGGCCTGTAGGTTAGGCCAGCCCTGCACACAGGGAGGCGGCCGGGACAGACCTCTCCTCAGAAGATGCAAGCTGGTCACACAACCCTAGCACTCCTGTCACGTTCTGGGGTGACAAGGACTGTTTTGGCTTTGTCCCAGAAGACTAGTCCTCACTGCAAATTCTGATGGTGGTGGTGAGCTGGCAGAATGACAGGAAGAGCAAAGGCAAGAAAGGAGCTTACTTTTCTAAGGCAGTCCTTGCTCAGTGTTTGGAAGAGGCTGAAATCTACAAAAATGTAAGACTCAGTTGTAGGCATCCAGAACATGAGTGATCTGGTTGAGGATCAGAGCCATTGTTTCAAATTCACTGCTGCATCCTCTTTTCTCCTGGGTCTCTTAAAGAAGTTGTTTTGTTTTCCTGATGCTTGCGTTTACATTCCTTTCTCCTTTCGGAAGATTTATAACTGCCTTCCCCTCTTATCTTTCCCAGTTGCCCTCCTCACCTCCTTCTACTCTCTTAGCATGATTTTTTACTCTTGGCCTGTCTTGTTTCATATTTAGATTCCTAAATGATTTGTCAGTTTTTAAAATTTCTCGTTAATTTTCTTTTCTTCTCTCTTTCCTCCCTCCCCCCTCTTTGTTCAGTGCTAGCTAGGGTTCAATCTCCCTTGCTTACCGTTTTGTGTTGCGTTTTCCCTCCTCTTCAACTACGGTTCTTTTCCCTACATCTCTCCATGGGCCACGTGGCTTTTATTTTTATTCATCTGTTTAAGCAGTGCTGGCAGAGAGGAGGCCACAGCCGGCAGGCAGAGCCGTGGCAGCGGAGGTCTTGGGTGCCTGAAGATGCTCCTCCCAGCCCAGTGCCCTGGAAGAGGCACTTCTTCGGGAGGGGCTGGGCAGATGGCCTGTCCTCCTCAGTGCGGCCCCGGTCCCACTGCTGGGGAGGCAGTGGAATCTGTCCTCTGGGAGGGTTGGGGCAGGTGACCAGGTTCTACCCTGGAAGGTGGGCACTCAGGGAGGCCACTGGGAATGCGTCACTTACAGAGCTCCTGGCTGGGGCGAGGGCGGGGGTGGCAGCGTGAGGTCTACTTGGGCTAACCTGGGTAGCTTTCGATCCTTGCTCTGAGGGGGAAGTTGGCTTGGCATACAGTTCTATCTTCTGGGGACACAGCAGCTATTTTCCAATACAAAGTCCTTGCTTCCCAAAGATCCCACCCTTGGCCAGTGGGCATTGTGATGCAGGGGGTGCCGGAAGAGGCTGGTACCTGTAGGGTCGCTATGGTGCTGGCGACTGGGGAGCAACACCAACTCCACCTGCGGGAGACCCTGAAGCTCAGGCCTGGTGCTGATGCAGACAGCGTGATGAGTGCCGGAGCAGAGAAATCCTAGAAGTTAAAGCTGCACTCCTCCTTGTCCGGAGTGGCAGGGGAGTGGCCTCAGCCCTGTTCCCCAGCTGTCTGAGGCAAATCGACTGGAGCCCATCTGGCTGTCCGCTCCCAGGGCTGAGTCCTCAGCAGGCCCAGCCCAGGGGGCGGTGGGGTCAGAACTCGGGCTGGGGGCCCTTGTCGCTGAGCCACACTGGGGGAGCACCCACTCGCACCACTGGACGGCCCTGTGTGCTCTCAGGAAGTGCCCGAGGGCCAGTTCCATGGCACACTTTCCAGATCTCATTGGCTCATCATCGTCACCCTCTCCGTCACCGTCACCACCCAGGTAAATGTGCTCTGCCACTTTAGAAAGTGCTACTGTTCCAAAAGCTTGACAGACATCTTTTCTTGTATTTTAAATTTTGCTTACATTTTTTAAGCCATCACTTCTGGATTCCATCGCCTGGGGTCTGATAAATCCTTAAGGACACCATGAGCCTCAAGAGTCCCCAGGTCCGAAGCCCTGGCCCTGTGGACTTGGTGTCTGTCTGATTCAAGGCACAGCTTCCTTCCCTGTACCTATCGTACTTATATTGGTATAAAATATTGTATGTAGCACAGATTCAACATAGGTAATGACTATAGGAGAGGAGATACATTTTCTGCCAATTGTTTCTCACACTGGCAGGACAGCGGGGGCCGAGATCCAGGCTCTTTGATGTAGGAATGCAGGTGAGGATTAGGATCCTGGCATCCTCTCTCTCCATCCCACACAGCGCCTGGCTCTTAGCTGAGCCCACAGCGCAGGCTCCTTCAACCCGTCCATGGCAGCGTCTGTGCCTCTGCGTTCCTGCCCCTTCTCCCGCCTTGCCTCTTCCCACGCACCGCACTGTATAAATATTTACACCCCCGGGCTGGCAGGAATCCTTCCCCAGCTGCTTCCCTGGTCCCTGTGTGAGCTTGTTCTCTTACCCAGCAGCTGCGGCAGATCTGGTTGCCTTTAGCCAGACAAGGGCAGGCCCCGGTTTGGGGGCCCACAGTCCCTCTAGGGTGGAGAGCGCAGTTGGCGGGAGAAACTCAGCACAGAAGAGGTCACAGGACCACGGCAAAGGTCCAGCTGCTCCGTTCGCCGGCTGTCCAGAGTGACTCTCCAAGAGCTGTCCATCCCTGCTCTGGCTGGAGGGGGTGGTGGTGTTGTTTCCTGCTTATCAAAGGAAAGGTTCCCTAGGATGGGTCTGCCACGCCCCAGGCTTGCTAGAGTAATGGGGACACCTTCCAAATCAAATAGGCTGATGGGGAGGGAGGAGAGTACTTCGCAGTTTACTAGTATTTGTGACACTCTTGATCCAACCACTCAGTTTAGGGCAAAAACTCCCTGGGGCTGGAGTGGAGTTCAGTGCTCGGCATGTGAAAAGCCCTGGGATCTAGCCTCATATTGGGCTTCTCTCCTTTTCTGCCCAGGCCACCCTGCCTCCTTCCCATAAGTCCCTACTCAGTCTTCCCCCCAGGGGACAGAAGGAAAGGGTAGATGTTCCTCCGCTCTTCTTTGGTGACCTAGGGAATGGGAGTTTGCCAAGGAGCCAAACTGCCATTTGGGGTCCCATGCCCAGGTACGGTGTGAAGTACAGGTCTGTATCCGCATGCAGTTACTCTAGTCTTGAGTCCAGCAGATTTTTGAGATTCCTTGTGTGTGCCTGCTCCGTCCACCTCCAAGGCTGGCAGCCTAAGCAGCAAGCTCCCACACAGACCCGTCTTCCTCTGCTCCTTGCTCCTTCCAGCACAGCTGGGAACCTCCGAGAGCCAGGCAAGGGCTGAACTTTGATCTCTCCTATCCCCGTTGGGTACAGGTCACATGCTGTTTCCTCCCTGCCCCGTGCCTCAGTTTCCCCCATTTGAGCTAAATTCAAGAATTTGGTTTTAAAAAAGCAATATAATGGTTCCATTTCAAATTCTTTTTCTATTAATAGGTCAGAGATGTGTCAGAAGAGACCGATCAGGTATCCGGGACAAAGAAGAATGTGTGTACAATGCTTTGGGGAGGCTGCAGGGGAGGTAGACAGGGTTAAAAAGGGCTTTGTTACCCCCAAATCCCTGAAGTTCAAGCACGGACTGGCTGGAGGGTGGATATTCAGGACTGGGTAGGGGGTCTGGATGGGGACCAGGGATGAAACTCCAGTCTCCCTGAGACCCATAACTGTGCCAGAAAGAGAGCAAACAGATGATCTCTTTCTCTCTCTCCCACCCTCTTCCCCCTCTCGCTGTCTCTCCTTGGAGTGGGGGACAAGCTGATGCCACAGGTGCCAGGGTGTGGCTGCAGAGAGGCCTGGCACAGTGCTTGGTGTCAGTGAGTGTAGCAGACAAGGCACCCTCTGGCTGTCCCAAGGTGAGACAGGGGACAGTGGGCTGGCTTTGGCTCTGCCTGCCAGGAAGTATTTGGGGAGAAAGGTAGAAACTGCAGCTCCGAAGTTGCAAGATATTATTGCTGCCTGCCTGCCTGCCTGCCTGCCTCTCCAGCCCCCCAGAGTTAAGACAAAACCTAAATAAAAGCTGGGCCTAGCAGATATTAATATTCCAGAGCCAGTGGGGGTGAGCACGCAGCCACCCCCGCCCCTCTTTCCCCTTCTGTTTCTATAAGTGGCTGAAATAAATTTAGCAAAACAACCCCACCCATCTGAGGGCCCAAGATTTCAGAGCAGTGGGATTCTTTACCCAGAAAGCCCCTGTTTTTCAGAGTGGAGAGCTTTTTGTTTAAATTCCCTTTAGGAATGGAATGCTCTCGATCTAAAATAATTACTTTACTGCAGTCATCTATTTCTCATAGATAAATGCTTTGACATAGTGAGGCTTGCTAGAAAGCTGATCTATAAATGCTCTGCAGCTTAAAATAGTCACCTCTATGGGGCCAGTGCCTAGCTGGATCTGCCGGGATATTTATTGTAAGATTATTTTTCATGATGTCTGTGCATGTTCTGCCAAGTCCTCTGTTGTCTGTCAAAAAGGACAGTGGCAGGGGCCGGGGATTTAGCTCAGCGGTTCGGTGGCCTGCCTTGCAAGCTCAAGGACCCGAGTTCAATCCCCGGTACCAAAAGAAAAAGAAAAAAAAGAAAGGACAGTGGCTGTAGTTGGCTAAGTTAACTGAGTAAACAAATATTACATCTGAATACTTACTGAAGACCTAGTGTGTGCTGGGCACTAAGCCAAGCACCATGGGGTGAATTGGGAAGAGAGGTCCTGTTTTCATTGAGCATTTGTCCTGGTCTAAAGAAAGAGAGATGTTAAAAAAGTAAATGAACACAAAAAAACTGTCAATGAATCATATTTATTTAATGGTGGAAGACAGAATGTTTTCCCCCTAGGACCAGGAACATTTACCCTTACTATACCTATTCAACATCAGTAATGAATAAAGTTAGAAAGAAAGAAATTAAGTTAAATCTGTTTGTAGATTACATGCTTCTCTATACTAAAAACAACAACATCAAAATTCCCAAGGAATCTACCAAAAAGCCCTTACACAATTTAAGTGGCTCTTATAAGATCAAAGGAGACGAAAGACAATAATCAACTGTATTTCCATAAACTCAGAAATGAACAACTGGAAACCAAGATTTAAGAAAAATTATAATATGCCGGGTGTTAGAGCACATACTTGTGATCCCAGCATTCTGGGAGGCTGAGACAGGAGGACTGCAGAATTCAGCCCAGCTTGAGCAATTTAGTAATTTAGTGATATCTTGTTTCAAAATAATTTCTTTTAAAGGCTAGGGATGTAACTCAGTGCAAAGGCCCTGGTTAAAAAAGGTCCTGGGTTAAAAATAGGAAACGTGAGGTATAAACCTAACAATATATGTAGGCCAATACTAAAAGCTATAAAACACCGACTAAGGAAACCAAAGAGGGCCTGGGGTTTTAGCTCAGTTGCAGAGTTTGTTCTTAGAATGCACGAGGCCCTGGGGTCATTCTCCAGCACTCTTCTCTCCCAAATCATCAAAGAGGCCTAAATAAATAGACATATCATGTTCATAGATTAGAAGGCTCAACATAGTAAAAATGTCATTTTTCCCTGAATTGAGTTAATGCATTTCCAATAAAAATCTCAGCAGGATTTTCCCCCCCTGTGCTGTGCTGGATATCAAATTCAAGGCCATGTACATGCCATGCCATGGTCTACCACTCAGTTATATCCACAGCCCCCAAGAGATTTTTTTTTGGGGGGGTAGATTTGAAAAGCTGATTCTGAAATTTATATAAAAAGGCAAAGGAACTAGAATAGCTAAAACAACTTCAAAAAAGTAAGAAAAATTTGGAAGAATTACACCACTTAGTTTTAAAATTTAATATACAGTTACAGTATTGGTATTGGCAAAAGGATACACGGACACACAGATCAACATAACAGAATAAAGAGGTCTATGCAAGTATGGTCATTTGCTTTTTAGACAGGTAGAAAATTCAATGGAGAAATGAAAGACTTCAACAAACAGTGCTGGAAATGAACATCCATGACCAAAAAATTATGAACATGAATGTACATCTCACATCTTATATGGGTCATAGATATACATGTAAAACACAAGAGCATTAGAAGAGGACTTGGGAAGGTAGCAGAGTAGGACGCACCGAATTTTAGAGGAGGCTTCTAGGAACATGGAAGGAGACGAAGCTCCGCATCTGTCTCCCCTGCAAGATAACAATTGTACTAGCAGAACCTGTCTTATTAACTCTTTTGGAGCTCTGGAAACTACTGAAGGCTTGGAATT